CTAACGACGTTCAAATTCAAGGATAAGAGATACATGGTCTACTACTAGGGTCATTAACTCAATTTGATGTACATCAAATATATAAATATTATATATTATATCCAATTATAATAGTTCAGGTGTTTATTTAGGGTTATGGAGTTGGTCCTGTGATTCATATATTTTGGACTTTCAAAAGGCCTTCGATAATGTACCACAGAGAGGGTATCGTTTCTTGCAGAAACTAAGGCGTTTGGAATAGACAGGACGTAGTTCAGTTGGATTGAGGAGTGGCTAAGGACACGATAGGCAGAGATGTAGTTGGTGAATGGTCAAGATCGCGACTGCGGAGACCAGTGATCAAGTTGGTGTGCTCTCAAGGGTCTTCTGCTTCGCCCGTCCTTTTTTATGGCTACATTGACGACATTTGACAGAACAGTGATCCAGTAGTGTCTTCTCCAAGTTTTCCGGATGATTCACCAGCTATTTGGAAGCGTCAGTGCGCATGGATCAAGTCCACAAGACAAGGCGAGTCTTAACAAGTTGTTTAAGTGCCCGTCAGAGGACCTGGCAAGATGCCGTGTTCACTTGGACAAGTGCAAATGCCATACACATCGGCGTCATTGAAACCGAGTCACATATCATATGAACGATGTGCACATTAGCAACGTGACTGAGCAGAGGACTTAGGGTATAGTGAATTGCCTCACTAAAACCATCTAGACCCATGTGGCAAGAAGCAGCAAAAAGGCAAACAAGTGCTAGGCAGTAAGTCAGAAGGTGTCTTTACGACAGGCGGCGCCTCACCATCGTTCCCTTATACATGTCCTTGGTCGTCGCACACTGGAATATGCTATACAAAGCTTGGAGGACCTTATTTATAAAGGACATAGCAGCTCCTTGAATAAAGTTCTAGAGACGATGCGACTAATACTTAGTGGAGAATTGGGGCTGCTTGTCATACCAGCATAGTACTACAAAGGCTAATCTGACTACTCTAAGAGACAGCGTAGAGAGAGAGCTGATCTTATCGAGACTACAGATTATGACAGGATTTGAGAATGATTGAATTTATAGGTACATTTTTTCACTGCTCAATGCCTTTCACACAGACGGTCACAGCATGAAATGTACAAAGGAGCGCAGTTCGTGCGTCGAATGTACGGGAGAAGAACATTGTCTCTCAGAGAGTATTGACAGCTCGAAAGCTCCCCAACATGTTATTGCCCGGCAAAAAGACTTGCTCACATTTTTACATCGAATTAGGCCTGGCTATTGGATAGATTTTTATTTTTTACAATCAGGGTTTTATATAAGCGCAAGCTCGCCTACCCTTGATAGCCATACAAACACCTTGATGTGATGTGGTGGCTGTACAGTAAATACTGTAATAGTTTGCATCACGGTTCAGGTTATGTTTACTGTTAAGGTTAGGGTTAGAGTTGGGGGTTGGCGTTAGGGAGTAGCGTAGGCGACTCCCTAGACTCGTTAGTGGAGTAGCGCAGGCGTACGTTCCTGGCTATATTTAGAATTAGTAGTACTTTAGGTACCAGGGTACGTTCCGCATACTGGGGAATAGACCCTAATCAGCAATACTGTAAGTCTGGTATTACCATATATTCTATACGTAAGCATAGGAGATTGCGTTCAACGTGAGGCCGATGCATGCCGGCAAATGGACTGCGTACCTGCAGCCTTAAATTGGAGACACGGCTGCCGTACCTCCAGCCACTGCCTATATATTATGCAAGCAACTTCCTGTATTATCCTCTTCCAGAATTTCCTTACTTCCACAATCTGGGGTACATTTGATCCTTGATGGTACATATTACATAAGCATTAAGTTACAAATAAGTTTGAAATTGACCTCCTTCCATGCACAACACGAGGTCCTAGATCCCAACTTAAGTTTCTCCTATTATTTAACTCATGGGCTGGAGACATGCATTAGCCACATTAATTTTAAAACATACCTCAAACACTGTAAAAATCGGCCTTTTTCACCAAAGAATTAAGAGTAATGTTGCAATGTTTCATTATGTGTATGCATGTCAAACTCAAATTTAATCAGTTGATTTAATTGTTATTATGTGTTTATGTCTCCTCAGAGAATTAATAAGGAAAGATGGATCCAGGTGCCACTGTCAAAGAAGTGTTTTCAAAATGTCAGCATTCAACGCAGAATAAAGCGCAGCTCCAGAAAGAGCTGTTGGCATGCCACGATAAGGTGAGTTACATTGGCTTGCAATAAATGGTGTTTGAAACTAACCTGAAACTTGAAGCCTTCTTCTTTGTATTTAATGTTGATGTTTGAGCCAAAATCCGAACCATCAAATTTATTTTATAAACACCAACTAAAAACTGTACACACTACTATACTGTACTATATTTTATTTGTGTAATAATAAACACTAATTCACATGCACCTTTTTATGGCTACGTTTATGTGGAAATACGTGATGCAAATATGTCAGGCCAGTCAGCCGTTTATCTTGGGCCAAAATATCATGAAATTTCCAAGTTTTTGTATGCAAAGTGAAATTTGATAATAGCTCATTATTCACTTATAATTTTCAGAACCACTGAGCTGAAATTTAATTATTATCAAAAGTATGTGACTAATAATGTTTTTGTAATGATTTTTAATGAATTTCTATTATTATGATATCATGGAAGCTTTATTAGTTTAACTGAGAAGGATATATGTTGTCATTTAATTTTCTTTTTTTTTCCTTTTTTAGATGGGAGATGATAACTTTTATAAGGATTTTATTCATCACTTGAAGTATTTGATGATAGTCTACGAACAGGAACCAGCTGTGGAGAGGAGTATCGACTTTGTAACAGAGTTTATTGCATCGTTTCATCCAAGCAAGAAGGACATAAGTGAAGACAAAAGTGAAGAGTCAAGTGGAGATGAAATGCATCCATTCATTCTAAAGTTTTTCAATTTCCTTCTCAAGGTTTACAACAGTACTGCTTGTCAAGAAAGGGAAAGCAATAGTCTAATATAATAAGTTAACATTAGTAGGGACAGTGATTTTCTGTTTAAAAAAATTGCCTTTTCCGTTTGGGAAAATCATGAATTCCGTTTCAAAGTAAAGAAAAAATGGAAATTCCGTTTTCCATAGAGATTCATTGTACACACCAAAAATGCAAAATTCCGTTTACATAATATTTGCATGAAAAAATAAGGTTAGGCCACTGACTGACAGTTGGGTTGGCACCGAAACACAGGGCTACCAAAAGTCGTAATTGTAAGTCATTTCGCTCTGAAACTTGTCTGAATGTAAACCATATCATTACCAATGCTATTGTCAACGTTTTTTTGTGATTTTATTGAAATTTCCATGTAATATGTTCAAATTACGTTTTCCGCGTTTTTCCGTTTGAAAACATTTCTGTTTCCAATGGCCGTTTCCGTGTTTTCCGTCCGTTTTCCACGATCGCGGGAAATCACTGTCCCTACATTAGATATCGTACAATAATATATTTTAGCTGCGAAATAATTAACTGTGACAATTGATCAATAGACATATATAAAGCATTTTAGAAATATTCATATATATATATATATTTTAGCAATATTTAAAATAAATATTTTAGAAATATGATTAGTGAGCTATCAAAAATAATCTCAAATGTAGCCGCTGTATCTGTTTCAATGATATGCAAATAGTCACTAGTCTTTCTAGCGTTTTGTGACCGGTCAAGTGTTTCTTGCAGTCTCATGGTGCGCGTGATCGGGCCGTGCGTATGCGTTCATGCCAGATCATCAACAAGCTGCTGAACAACCTTGGCGATGCACAGATTGATGACGAGCTATTTGAGGGCATCTATCGAGCAATGTTGGAGCGTGTCAAGGACAAGTATCCGGTTGTAAGGGTGCAAGCTGTGACCGCACTCATCAGACTGCAGGACCCCAGTGACACCGGTTGTCCTATAATCGCAGGTAAGATTTTTGTCTCGTTTAATTTTTAGTACGGCGGCGGTTGCATTGAAATCGTCGTTAAATTCTCATCAAAGAATTTTGAGTGGTCGAAAAGATGTTTTTTCATTTATATTATTATCAATTATCATATTCTTTAGCATTATAGCATCGTTCAGTCAATGACTACAAACAAGGTTTAAAATGTCAAGTTTGTGTGTAATGATATATTTCTTTTTTTATTGACATGCAATGAGTTATTATAAAATGTTGATCAATATATATTATAATACTGGCTCTCTGATAATTTGATTGGCTGAGGAAAGTTTTATATAAGTTATGCACAAGTTGATAGCAAGCCTCACCATTGAATTGATTCACGTCACACACTTACTTTACAGGAATCGTTGTTTTGCTCCAATTCAATTACATTATGTTTTACTGCAGCGTATATATTTCTGCTTGAGAGAGACCCGAACGCACAGGTGCGCAGAACTGTTCTCTCTGCTATAGCTACATCGAAGAAGACAGCGCCTGTTATCATTGGCAGAACTCAGGACGTGAGCACTGTCGTAAGGAAGCATGCATATAAGGTACCGTGAGAACAGTTAAACATTCATGGGTATTATCGTGGTGGCAGTTTTACTGCTAACAAAAGCGAGTCTGCTTGGTAGTTGTGATTAGGTAAGAATATGCTCAGAATGGCACATAAAACAATTTTACTAGCATTTCCATTGTTAAGGGTATAATAGCAGACAATTCATGGAAACAGTTAGTTATGTTACCTTATATAAGTTGGTTGTGAGAAGTGTCTTGCAAAACAAAACCAAATACATTATGAGCATAAAATACATTTTTGGATAGATATATCTTATTATGCAATATTTATAGTTTATGTCCTGTCATGAATGTGAATTGCTTAGGGACTTAAATTAGGAATGTATACTGTAAATGTATGTAACGTGACTGTAGTTGTAAACAGTAAATTGTATGTACAGTATTATATCCTTGCTTATCCAGGTGTTGGCAGAAAAGGTTCATATTAGAGGACTACCTATTGCGAAGAGAGTTAAACTCTTAAAAAGAGGACTCTGTGATAGATCAAGTAAGTCTTTATTAGTACAAACGTCAACAGTGAAAACACAGCATATATGTACAGAAGTTCATTTATGAGAATCAGTGAAAAAGATACACGGGAGTGACGAGCGATTTCGCTCTAGTAAGCTCTAAAATCGCTCTGGTAAGAACAATAACGGGAGCAATCGCCCGAGAGAAAATCGCTCCCGTGGCCTGATAAATTTAAATGTACACAAGTACGTACGTACAGCGAGCGCTACATATACACCGTGCATGCAGCAGCGGCTTAAGCTGGGTTTACACTGACGATTATATGCAGTCAAGTTGGCGTTTTTCATTTTTCTACCAACCTCTCTATATATATATTTAAAGCTCGTATGTTATCGACCACGAGGCGGCAAACGTTTCAACATTTGACCCGTAGCGTGCACGCGGGGCGACGCGGATACGCATTTCTGCATGTATTACATGCCGCCAGCGTGGTGCCTAAAGCAAAAACGTGCTCTCCCTCTAGGGTGGAGGGACACACCCCTGAATGCTGTTGTCTGATTGGCCACTTGGCAAAAAAACGTCCAACTCGCTGCTATCGATCGGTTGGACGTGCGACTTTTGCGTTTACACTGGCGATTGTCAGTTGCCAAACTACCAAGTTCGTACAATTCGGCAACTCAAAATCGTTAGTGTAAACCCAGCTTATGTATCCGCTGCAGCTGGCGCTGGCTAGATCAACCCCACTGACGCATAATAAAATACAATTGATAATAAAAGTTATACAACAGAGTGAAGAACTAGAAACTGTTGACACTTTCATTCATATTTAAATTTAACTTGACAATAATACCAGCTGAATCCAGCTCTTGCCTTGTATTAATCTGCAATGATGTGGTTACAATTGCATTCATACATTGTCTGTTGAAACTATGAATGATAGTCAATGATAAACTATGCTGACAGATGTGATGTGATGTCACATACTCACAGGCACACATCTCTGTGAGACTGTCAAATTAACCGTGTACTTTCTTATTTTGAGACTGAAAAAAGAAACAAACAACTGCACAGTGGTATTTTTATATAAAAAAACATTTATTTGCATCCAAACGAAAAGATAACGTGGTTCATACTGTATGTTTATTACAGAGTAACAAAACAATTAAGCAATCTAGAAGTAGTGACTAGTGAAGCATGTGTACATGTAGAGAGAGAAGAGTGAGAACTGAGAAGGGGAGTGGTGGACAGAATGGTAGTATGGTACTATGATAGAACTTAGGAGATGGGAGAGGTCAGAGGTGTCGGAGGCAGCATTGTGAATGCGAATGGATTCAAAGGATGTTTGGATGATGAGTTATACAAGTGTGATTAGTGATATGTAGTAATGTAAATATAATTATAGGTACATGTATTAACAGAAAATTTGACACAATCATGGAATTAATAATACATACAATTTACATTGATGTCCCCATCCCCACAAATAAAATAAGAGTACATTATATTACGTATTTTTTGGAAGTTAGAAACTATGATAATGGCTCTGGATACATAAAAATAGCTCTGGAGCTTCCAAAAAAGGCTCTGGTAAATTTTTTACAAGTCAGAAAAATGGCTCTGGTGAAAAAAAGAAAGTATTATGTCTTATGCCATCCAGTTACTTAATCTACAAACCCAGTATAAAACTAAGTCGAATGCTGCAGGATGGCCTCTGAAACGAATGCTTGTTAGTATCTATACAAGTCATGCAGCATAGAGACAGCCATTCTGGTGTGATTAATACAAATCTTGATGAAACTGCTCTTTAAATAATAGAAGTAGTCAGCTGATTGACGATACACTAGCAGTATGGAGAATTGGAGATTATTGATGACTGGGTGATGAGTGTCATTTGTGGCACGTCGGGTAGGTGCGGTGAAGGAGGCGTGCTCACAAGGGCTCCTACAGAGCTGGCTGCGCATGTGCAACGACAGCGTCGTTGACCTTCTGCGCTGCCTGGACGTCGAGAATTCCTGCGAGGCAACCGAGCTCATCATGAAGAACCTACTGGGTGACGTACCGGCCAAGGAGCTCGCTGAGAAGTTTCTACCGCTGCTTAACGAAAGGTGATTTACGCTCGATACACGAGCGACGCTTGCAGTATCAACGATTTTGTGCATACGTAAATTATGGTGGTAGATCTACCTGATCTACCTGTAGAGCTATCGATATGTTTTTGTTTTTGCAGTATTTTTAGGATTTGTTAGAGGGTCTGTTGAGGTTGGTAGAGAAAATGCCTTCTTTGCTCTTTGTTGTGCACATCGGATAATCAAATAGAACTAGGAGAGAAGAAGCTCATGTGGGTTTATCACTAAAGGACAACACTCTTAATGTTGCTTTGTGTACAGTAATGGCTGTTGTGCCCTTATTGTGTTGATCTTTGTGTTTCTACTAGCCTGGTGATCGAAGAGGCTAACCTCAATAGTGAAGTTGCCACCTACTGGCAGTGTGTGTGTTCACACCTCAAGTCCCTGGGCGTGACCGGAGAGGAGCAGATGGAACGACTTCTGCCTGACCTAACTCAGTTCTGCAACTACATGCGGCAGTGAGTAGAAATTCCCGCGCGTGGTAATGTTAAACATTAGGCAACATAGGCAACACAATAAATTGTTTTACAATATATATCTTTGCAAGTTTGCATGAAACCTCACTACATTCTTTTAAAATTTAATTGGCAGCAATGGCAGTTGTGCATTAAATCTGTATAACCTTGTTATTGGATTGAGACATGGCCTGATTCACCTGTTCGTGTATTCTCAGGTACGTTCTAGCTGAACGCGCAGAGCGTTCGGTGGAAGATACACTACAGCAATCCTACATATCGCAGCAGCTGCTTACGATTCTGTCTCTGTATGACTGCAGTGACGAAGCCGGCAGGTAAGTGCACCTTCTACACATATTGTAGTTTCTAATTCTGGGCCTTACTTTGATTAGAATTGTTTCAAATACGAATAAATGCTTAATCCGGAAGTGTAAACATATAGCCCATTCTTGTAAGAGAAAAAAAAGATGGTTGTGAAATTCAAAGAAAGGCGAGGATAGCCTACCCCACCTTTTTAATCGCAAATAAAGGTGAGGGTGCCCTACCCCATCTTTTTAATCGCAAATAAAGGTGAGGGTAGCCTACCCCCACATTTTTAATTGCAAATAAAGGTGAGGGTAGCCTTTTAATCGCAAATAAAGATGAGGGTAGTCTACCCCCCTCCTTTTTTAATTGCAAATAAATCTCTAAACCTGAGAATTCTGCGGCGACGTCTCGCGCAGGAAGGTGCTGTGCGCTCTTGTCGACGAGCTGCTGGTGTCGCCGGCGACCGACGCCACGCTCGTCAAGGGTCTGATGAGTCAGCTGTGCGTGCTGCGCGGCGATGACGCGGCGCGCGTGCAGTACGTCGTCGAGCTGATCGCCGACGTGCGGCAGCCGATCGCTTCCGCACCCGCCTGCCGCATGTCCGAGAACGAGCAGCGAGAGCGCGACCTGAAGGTGAGTGTGGATGATGACTACGTTGTGAGTGGTTACTAGTGAGATCACGATCTGAAGGTGGGTATGTAGGCTATACAGTGCTTGTGTCTGGATAGTAGTGAGAACGGGACGGGAAGGTGGGTGTGGAAACTTCGTTGTGAGTGCGTCCAGATAGTAGTGAGAGCATGATCTGAATGTAGGAGTGTAGGCTATGTTGCGCTTGTGGTGTCTGGATAGTAGTGAGAGCAGGTAGACTTGAAAGTAGGAATGTCAGCTATGCTATGCGTGTGTCATAGCATGAGTGCAGGACCTGAGGGTAGGTGGGAGGAAGAGCAAGACATAGTACGACATAGGACGTAGAGAAGACAGAGGTTGAGTACAATGTTCTGGCTCAGGAGAGGTAGAGGGCACTGAGAGTGTGTCCGCGTACAAATCACGTTGTCATCAGTGGCTGTGTAATATCAACAATTATGTATTTTTAGATATTAGGAGAACTCTGTTGCATGTAAAACTGATGAGCAGTATGTGTATTTAAATAGGTCATATTCGTGTGTTTGACAAAGTTGAATACGCATTGAATTCGTTGGTCTTTCCCCCATTATCAAGGTTGCCAAGTTGCGTGTCATGTTGATGGAACGTAGAGACGAGCTGGAGGACAGCATTAAAGAGCAAGACTTCGTACGAGCTGCTCAGCTAAAAGAAGATATCTCAGAACTTGAGCAGCAAAAGGAAGATCTCCTTGACCAACCATCAATTGATTCTCAAGAGACACAAATGGAAAAGGTATCACATGCTTGCCGGTGGTGTGGAAGCCACATTAATCATCACCTCATACTAGATCACTTCTATTGTATATTATTCTTACTATTATACCTTATTATCTGTCCAAACATTTCTTGTTTGCAATAATTTAAGGGATAGGTCAGTATATATAGTGAAAATAATTTGGTAGCATGCCGTGTTGTTATATACACGGGTTTACCTAGTTATATTAAAGGTGTTGTAAGTGGTTTTTTACTTTGGCATTATTTTCGCTGGCAATCTGAATCATGGAAAACAAGTCCACTTTGACGAGTGGCCTTTGGCTTTATATCTCCGCGTATGATCAGCTGACACTTGGCTGCTGAGTTTAGTACCTATTTTCATTGCCTTTTCAGGATGATGAAGCTACACTAATGAAAGCACTTACCATGGCAAAGGAACTCTTACAAAAGGTTACCATCAGCACACTGACTCCTGCCATGCACTCACTCTTGCAGACCTTGGTTAGTTTTCATAGCTAAACGGCATATTTTTCAATTGACATTGATATGTTACTAGTTTGAAACATAGCTAAATAGTACATCTAGCTGTTAGTGAGTTTTATGGCCAATATGCATTGATAGTTGCCCGGTTATGCACCCGAGTCTGTGTGTTGATGAGCGTGTGGTTGTCTCATCAAGTTGTAATGAATGGATTAATTATGATAAGTATAATTAATGTTTAGTCCGTAGTTTACTTGTGCTCAAAGCATAGGGTTACGTGCTGAAACCAGACCTGGTAAATGACATTTTGTTACAGATTTTACCAGCTGTACAGAGTGAGGACCCAGCACTAAGGCAGTTGGCTGTGGAGTGCCTTGGGCTGTGCTGTTTAATAAGCAAGGAACTGGCAAGAACTCACCTGTTACTCTTCATACAGGTTAGTTTTAACATGTTATTTAGCAACATGTGAAGTTGGGTTCTATGTAAGTTCAGGCTTGTCTTAGGTCATACGTAGAAAAATGTAAATCAATGAAACCTGGTGTGATGTGAAGTATTGCGCATACACTCAATTCCACATTATCGCCATAAAACTGTAAATTATTCACACTGAATTCCTTAGACTCACCTCGTTGCTGTCCAACACTGGAGAGGTAGTAGGAGCTGATTAAACGTCACCAAGTTGATTAGATATAATTTTGTAGGTATACTTTATAAAATAGCTCTAATGAATTGGGTTTTTATTTTCTCTGCTTACAACTTTTTAAATATTTTCTAACCATGTTATGGCGGTTTCCAGGACGTACTTTCAATAAAATGTAAATCTCTTGTAGATATTGCAGCTCGATCAGGAAGCGTTGCAGGTGGCAGCACTGCATGCCGTATTTGATCTCATCCTGACGTATGGCCTTGAGTCCTTCTGTGCGACTGGAAAGACCGATGGCGATAAGCGTGATTCTGTAGAGGGCGCACAGCGTGTCGATCTCGGGTTCGACGATACTAGTGAGCGAGCGGTTTCGCCAGATGCGGCGAGTGAATCGCAGCTTGGTTCAGATGGAGTTCCTGTGGATACTGCCACCAGCATCATATGCATTCTCTCTGAGCTTCTCAACAGTGAGGTATGCTTTATGTCATACATCTACATTATTTTCTTGGGATGGAATCCTATCTCAACTACAAGAGCTTTAGATGAATTTTAGTCATCCACCTGTATAGTAGCTAATAACTCTCTTAGATCAATTACTCAAATATGTCTTAAATATAGCTTGTTCAATTTGCTTGAAATCCTGAATATTTCAGGAGAATTTGCATGAAATTATGTTATTTACTATAATGCAATAGACCCATAAAGATTATGCCACCTATATTTTTTTTAATTTCAAATTTAAGTACATGGTTAAGTTCTAACTGATGCAAATTTTTATACAAAATGTATCTTTAAAAAAGTGTTACTTTGAACTGGAAATCAGTCTAATGTTTTCTTACTAAAACGTTTCTTGCTTTGGCTTCAGAACCTGGAGATAAGAACGCTCACTGCGGAGGGCATGGCGAAGTTGATGTTGACGGGCAGGGTGACGTCACCCAAGCTGCTGTCACACCTGCTGCTGCTCTGGTACAACCCAGTGACAGAGGATGACACGTTACTGAGGCAGTGCCTTGGTGCTTTTTTGCCTGTCTTTGCATTTGCCAGCAGGTAAGTAATGCAGTGTTGGAAATAGCAGCCCATCTCCCAGTCTTGATAGCTCTTAAGCTGGATTAGCTAATTTTGATAGATTCTAATATAGGCTGTATAGTTGAGATCTAAGACTAAGGTAAGTGACATCGTGTTTGCAACACTGGTAATCTGTGTGTAGCCAGGCTGTACAGAGTAATAAAGTGACTGATGTGGCACATATCTCTACACCCTCTAGGTTTGAGACCGCGAGTATTTCTTTGCAAAGGGTGCATGTGAGTCAACTATTTAATTCAGCCAGCCATGATCGACTAAGCAATCTGCTATTCTTTATGTGAGCAGAGCTAATCAAGAGTGCGTAGCGGAGGCATTCCTGCCCACACTACAGACCCTGTTTGACGCTCCGCTCTCGAGTCCCCTTGCCGAGGTGAATGACACCAACGTTGCAAAGCTAATGGTGGATCTCACATGTTCATACTACCTCAGCGAAGCGGCGAAACGAGGCGTAGACGCTGCTGCGGTACGTTCATGTGAAACTGCTTAGCAGTGTAGTTATCCGATGCGTAACCTGAAATGTTGTGACATGGGCGTCCTGTGGGGAGGTAGATTGGTATGTGTGTGTGTGTGTGCGTGCATGTGTACATGCGTGCGTGCTTGAGTGCGTGTGTGTCTATGTATTAGCTCCCTACTTTAGTAATGCTATTATGCAGTGGTGTCATCCCCTGCTTTAGTACTGAACGTTTGTGGGTTTATAGTCGCAATTGTCAATCTCGTGCAAAATCAATCGGAGAAGAAATTGCATCGAAAAGTCCTACGTCCTAATAATACAAGTTTCCTATAAGTTTTAATAATGTAGATATGCAAGGACACATGTCATAACAAACATGAATCCACCAATTTTAATTTTGTTCCCCATAGGACTCCATTCATGACACGCTGGCAGTGAAGATATGCAACCAGATACTCAGTGACCCCGAATCGTTTGGTACGCTGACGCTATGTAAGGCCCTCGGCTACCTTGACCTGAATAGCAATGCAAGCAGCGTGGCAAACGACCTGAAAGTGTTAGCCGAAGATATGCTCAATGTAAGTCAGCTCTCCACCTCTACAGAGCTACTCACCACTCGTTCACCATTTGTCATCATTTAGTGGGGATTGCATAATTTCTTTCTACATGTTTGCCCTTGAATATATGGCATATTATTGGGTGCTTGGCATTTTTAGTGGGTGTGCTGCGGTCCCACTTCATCTCACGTTGTGCTTCTAACTGTCGACTCAGTGCATGATATAGAGTGCCAGGTAATAACTTTCCAATGTGGACACCAGGACCCGGTTCCACAGACGTGGATTAACTCTTAACTCTGAGTTAAAGTTAATTCACGTCTGTGGAACCGGGTCCTGGTCACCAAAGCAGGTTCTGACAATGTGGTTTTGCTGTGTAGGTGGTGAGTGGCAGACAATGCCTGCGGTTGCTCGAAAAATTCTCTTCGGTCGTCAGCAAGTCTTCCCAGACGAACGCTGAAGACGAGGGCGATGACAAGAGTGATGGTCAATTGACAACCGGCGCCGACTGTCACAATGAAGAAGAGGCTGATGATCGTCTACAGGGGATGAATACCGATGCTGCTGTCACCATTGTGCCGGAGAGTCCGGATTCAGAGCGTGCTACTAACGACAACAATAATCATGAGGATGATGTTGATGATGATGACGAGGGTAGTGGTGACGATGCTGCTGCTGCTGATGATGATAATGATTATGATGATGATGATGATGATGATGATGATAGTGATAGCAGTATACATGACCGGTAGATTTGCATGAATGACAATGTAATGGCTACATTTATGAAAAACAAACGTGTGGACACTGTTTGTTATTTTTGCCCAGTATAATCTCTTGCTGTGCTGAAAGAAGAACAAGTAGAATAGTAAGATAGCCAGAAGCTTTCACATTTAGGAAAATATCAGTATGAATTGGTATTCTTTTCGTATTGTGATGTTCTCTGAACTGACATTTGGACCTGAACGAAAACTGCTAGCTATCTTCCCACCTTCTATTACAAGTCAGCTTTACCTATAGTTTATGTACTCGTTTATGGCATGTTTTTTGTTTCATAATTCGATTTTTGTTTTCTGGTTAATTTTATCACTTATAACATTCGATTTATCACATATAACATTCGATTTATTGCATATAACATTCGATTTATCACATATAACATTCGATTTATTGCATATAACATTTGATTTATCGCATATAATATTTGATAATTTAATCATATGTTATATGCAATAAATCGACAATAATTCCCTGCCAAAAGTATAATTGCATCATTTGATACCATGCCTGTTAATTCGATTGTATTAGGCATTTACTGTTTTAAATGTTCACATTATTTGATTTTATATCAGAAAAGAGAATCAACCCATTCGATCCTGGCATCAAACCATTCAATTATGGAATAGAATCGTTCGATTTTGATATAAATTTCAGGATCGAATGGTTCGATTCGAAGATCGAATGATTCGATTCCAAAATCGATCCATTCGATTCCAAATCCAAGCGTGGGTACTAATAAATGTAAGTTCGCCACCCTATGTAGATGTGATACAAAGAAAAGCAAAATAGACCGCGCTGCTAAAAAAATTCAATAAGTGCTATTTGACAAATTTCTTCTTTTTATCTCAATTAAACGTATGATATCTTGGGTAATCATGGGTTACAAAATGATTTTGGTGCATATTTCATTATAATCAGCATAAGACGTACGATATACTTGTGTACAAAGTCATTTTATTACATAAAAAAAGAAACCAACATTTAGTCTAAAATCAACCAAAAATTTAAACTCTGTACTTTTGACTTCAATACTGCACAACTACATATATCGCATAAGAAAAGAAAAATAAGTTTGGCAGCATGCATATTCATAGTCTTACACAAATAACAATTTCTCACCAAAGAACCCCACATTAAAAGTATAATAAAACAAAATTACAAAAATGTAAATGGAAATAATTATATATTGTGCTTTCTGCGGGCTGGCCGGTGAGCACAAGACGCCTCGATCGCTCCCTCCCTCTCTCCCTTCCCCTCCCTCCCTCCCTCTTTCACTCACTTACCACCTCGACCCCCTCCCTCCCTCTCTCCCTCTCTCTCACTCACTCACCACCTCGATTCCTCCCTGCCTTCCTCCCACTCCCTCTCTCACTCACTTACTATCTCGACCCCCTCCCTCCCTCACCCTCCACCACCTCCCCCTCCTCTACCTACTCCTCCTTCTCCTTCCCCACCACCTCCTTCCCCTTCTTCTCCCCCTCCTCTACTTCCTTCACATTCTCCCACTCTCCTCTACCTCCTCCACCTTCTCCCACCATCCTCTACATCCTCCCTCTTCTACCTTCTCCCCCTCCTCTACCTCTTCTCTCACCTATCTCCCCACTCCTCGTTCTCCTCCACCACATTCTCCCCTTCCTCTACCTCCTCCCCCTCCTGCACCACTTTCTCCCACTCCTCTACCTCCTCCGTCTTCTCCCACCATCCTCTACCTACTCCCACCATCCTCGACCTCCTCCCTCTTCTACCTTCTTCCCCTGCACCACTTTCTCTCTCCCCTATCTCCCAACTCCCCCTCCCCTCCATCCACCACATTCTCCCCCTCCTCTACCTCCTCCCTCCTCTACCTCCTCCCCACCACATTCTCCCCCTCCTCTACCTCCTCCCTCCTCTACCTCCTCCCCACCACCTTCTACCCTCCTCCTCAGCCACCTTCTACCCTCCTCCTCAGTCACCTTCTACCCTCCTCCTCGACCTCCTTCCTGTACCCCCTTTCTACTTCCTCCTCCACTACCTTTTCCCTCGTCCTTACCTCCACCGTCCACGTACCTCCTCCATCCGTGAATCGAAGCATTCGATTCGTGAATCGAAGCACTCGATCCGTGAATCGAAGCATTCAATTCGTGAATGTTATATGTGATGAAATCAACCATAAAACAAAAAATCGATATATCGATATATCGTGACCTAATTTCAGAGAATTGCGTAGAGTCGATACAAAAGCTCAATCTTGTACTAAGACTAGTGGTAAGAAATATCACGTTACCTGTAGCATTTTTCCTGTGTGTAGTAGATATTGGCAGGAATTTGTAAACTTTAACAATCAGGATCGTTATAAGTCTGGAATAATCTTCGAGCTATGCTATCTGTAAATAAATTTATCATTTTTTTATTGTATAATTTCTGACCGTGAATAAGGGGGTCACGGTGTTTTATAATACGTAGTTAGTATATTTGTACATTTTCCTAGTATATTCCTAAATCTAGAAGTAAATATTTTCGATGCATCTATATAGATTTCATGTTTAGCCACTTGCGCATAGAACCAAATGCTTGTGCCGATTTTATTTCATTTTTCATTTTGGGTCGACTTAGGTATGGATAGTGCTGTCTGGCTCTCCAACTATCCCTTTCAATTTTTTGTATGAAAATGTTTATGCTTTACTCATGTTCTTACCGTAGGGACAGGGTAGATTACGTTTCCTATGGTTTACAAATAAGTACCATCTTGAAATTTTGTATTATATGGTTTGTGTTCTTTTATACGGCTTTACTGTTTTAGATCAAATTAGATGGGTTAGGTGGATGGGATGGGATCATCTTGCCAGATGGGAGCAGACTTAGGGGATATCCTTTCAGCCCGAGAAATACTATGTCCTCCGCATCGGCAGCTAGAGAACGAGCACTCATAACGTTTCACTACACCCTCAAAGTAAACACGCTAAAACTGGAAACGATGTGAAAATAGGCTGAGTAGTCACTACAGTTAACATAACAATACAGAAAACATACAGCATTCTGGGTTTCTTATAAGGAAATTATAAATCATTACACATTTTGGTAGGCGTATAGGTCTATAACTATAACTGGCTCCAGTTATGCATATGATCCAAAATTTGCGTGTATGGTACGTGATCATGAGAATGTATTTTACATGTCAAAATGTAACAATATGCTTTCTACGGATATTTTGTTTATCCCCAAATAGATTTTGTTGTGACAGGTCTTTTTCTATCCAAAGCAAAAGACGTAGAAGAGTCGCAGGCCAATGTGCGTGTATATATAATATATATATATATATATATATATATATATATATATACGTGCGTGCGTGCGTGCATGCGTGCGTTTCTGCGCGTGTGCGTGTGCGCGTGTGTGCTCGCGTGTGTGTGCTCGCGTGTGTGTCTTCGTAGTTTTAATCTATTTTAAATGCATATTAATATCCGTATTAAGTCTTAATAAAAATTAGATGAGATTTTTGTTAGAATTAATATTAAAGTTAAAACGATTTAATTTTACATTTACAACTGTAATGCATAATTATCAGCTGATAATTATTATCAGATGATAGATTATTAGAATTTGTAGAATGTGTTTTTAGTTTTGTATAACAGATTTATTGTTATAACAGATTTGTACAAGTTTCAATCACAAATATAATTTTCACACGTCACAATAACAATTTCCAAACACCATAAACAGTTACTCAGACATTTATTAACGTAATATGATAGTGTGCGCTTGATATACACCTAATAGAATTGGCAGGATTCTTTCTCTAACGGTACTCCCCGAAAGTGCCAGGTGATCTGGAGTTTACTGCCATTATGAAGTAATGTACAGCGTGCGTAACATATACGGATATTTCTATTACAACGGGCTTCATTCTCGCGATATCGCCGTGTTCGTAACACCGTGAGACCCCGCACGTCGCGGCATCGGCCGCCATACCGCTATTATTGGGTTGAAGCAAACAAAGACAACGAGGACCACGTATAACGTCGGACACATACGCATGAGACATACATACATATATATCAAGAGCTCATAATAGATATAGATATATACTATTTAGTATCGACTACATGAAGCGATAGCGAGAACTATATACATAACGTGTAGTGTTACACGTGGATACATTGGTATCAGGAGTAGATAATAGGGAATTCCCTATTATCTACTCCCGATTGGTATGTATAGGCCCTATACAGCGAACACGTAAAGACGGCAAGGTGTGCGGGCATAACGCATGGTGTTTGTGTGACATTGCCTTCATGTAGTTTAAACATATTGTAGGCGTGTGATTCGCACTACCTTAGTAGAAGTTCTGTAGTAGACTGATAGAGACGAGACAAGAAAAGAAGCAACGTTCACTGGTGTTTTACTAAATCTCTAATACAATACATGAAGTCTCCGTGCACTACCGAAAGCAAGAGCGGTTACTACACACTACACCTTCCTCAGCGGGTGGCTGGCACAAGAGCCTGTCCCGAGAACGGTGGCTTCCGCTATTTATACGGCGCGCCCCGGTCCGCGATCGCGTTTCTTCCCTTACGTTACAGATCCCATTTAGCTCCCAACTCTGACCAACCGGCCCTCCCGTACACGGCAGAGTGCGGATTCCCACTGCTATCTTACAATACCGAATATGGTGGGGGTGCGCGGTCCATGGTCCGATTCTGGCCCTGATGTCATAGATCATCTGGTCAGTGTCTAGGCTGTCACAATGCGCAAGGATTCGGGGATTCATGACCGGGCTTCCAGCTAGACGGCGACATCTCGAGTCACGGCTCGCTTTGACCTCCGTCCCGCCGCTGACTCTCTCGTCCCTGTTTCATACATTCTCCTGACACCGGTTGCGTTCTCGCATTGCCATAACTTTCCCTGGCGTGTAGGGTTTCACCTGCTTACAATATACATTTGATATGGACCAAGCAACACACCATAAGGACGTGAACGTGTGGGGTTCGTGCAAATTTCTACATGGATGGATGGATTCTGTATGGAAACAATCAAGGTATAGAGAGAGGGGCCACATTAGGTGCATAATTGTTATATATATATAATCTGCACTAGTGCTCATGGGACTTTAAAAGATTGATTCGATTTTTACATTTGTATTAATTTTATACTTTATTTATACTGCGGCGATACGATCACAGAAGCCGCTCACTAGTCAGTCTATGTAAGCAGTGGCGCCCGCAGATAGAAGCACTGTAAGCACAGTGCTTCCAGTAAATTTTGGGTTAAAAAATGTTGTTCCTAAATCTCTCTCGCAAGACTCACCAAATTGCATCTCCAGACGTCTACCATTCGAAAATTTTCAGGGGG